TTGGGTGAGGGTTGGGTGAGGGCTGGGGGAGGGCTGGGGGAGGGCTGGGTGAGGGCTGGGGGAGGGCTGGGGGAGGGCTGGGTGAGGGCTGGGTGGGGGCTGGAGGAGAGCTGGGGGAGGGCTGGGTGAGGGTTGGGTGAGGGCTGGGGGAGGGCTGGAGGAGGGCTGGGGGAGAGCTGGGGGAGAGCTGGGTGAGGGCTGGAGGAGGGCTGGGGGAGAGCTGGGGGGGGCTCCTGGCGCGATCGAGGAAAATGTCCGCTATGGAATCCGCGGCTTGTGCGAGGGTTTCTTTAATTATTTTTTTACCTTCTACGATGGTGACTATTATTATTTAATATATTTACGTCTTTTTTTTTTACTTCGAGCGACCCTCGCGAGCCAGGTGCGTCGCAGACAATAGCACGGTCATGGCGGCGGTGGCGTCTCGCGATCTGGGAACGCCGAATCCGCTCGCCGCACCTGGCGGAACGTCGCCCCTCCCCCCCCCCACCACCCCCCCCCACCACCCCCCCCCACCACCCCCCCCACCACCCCTGAAACGAGCGCAGGTCGCCTCACAGCAGGAACGTCTCGGCGCGTTCCGATCCGCTGCCGAAAAACACCGGCGGAGAGGCGTTTTTCGAACAGTACGTCTTCTGTCTCTGTGTGTGCGTGTGTCTTTTTGGCGACCCGCAACCCCGTGATTTTATCCGGACGGCGTCGCCGTCCGCGCCGTGGCCGGTCGGGAACGCTGGCAGCGTGGCGACGGTGGAAGAAGCACGTGACACGCTCGCACGTTGTTTGGTTGTTACGTGCGCAGCTAGACGGCGCGGTGTGCGCCGAGCCTCAGATTTCATTTTGCCCTGCCGGGCTGAGATCGCCAGCTTGGCGGCGGGATGTTGCCTACCTCGCGTGGTACGCAGGAGGTCGTGGTTTTCGATCGCGACCCCTGACGCCTGCTGCTGCGTATTTGGAGTTTGCGGTGTCTCTCTCTCTCTCTCCCCGGGGTCGCGTGGATTATTCTCGGGGTCCTCTGGTTTTTCCCCTCGACATTTAGAATCAGCGTCACGCGTTTAGAGTATTAGTCCGCTATATATTTCCACGCGATAAGCCGCTTCGTTGAGCTGTCATTTGTAGCCAGGTCGCTCTTGATAAAGAGCTACATAGCTCAGTGGGACTTAAGTGGTAAATGCAAAAATAGTTGAGTTTAATCAACGTGCGGCGGCTGAAACCCAGAGTCGAACTCAGGCGCTGGGAGGTTCCGGCTCGGCACTCTGACCTCTAAGCCCACCCACACTGGCGGAGCCAGATGATAGAACAATAGTCTGAGTCCATAATTGGCAATAAGTAACGGCAAAGCAGTTATAAGTGACTCAGAATTGTGCGCAGTTCCGTATCCAGCACACGACTTCACCCAAGGCAAACACCTTCAGCGAGCGCGATGCCGATCACACAACGCGGTTCCAATTCGACCCTCGATCGATGGCTGCCCCATCGCCACACACGCGTCGAATAAAACACAAGGGACAAGTCCTTACTAACAACTCCTTACTTACTAACAACTCCTTACTCACTAACAAGTCCTTACTTACTAACAACTCCTCACTAACAACTCCTTACTTACTAACAACTCCTCACTAACAACTCCTTACTTACTAACAACTCCTTACTAACTAACAACTCCTTACTCACTAACAACTCCTTACTTACTAACAACTCCTTACTCACTAACAACTCCTTACTCACTAACAACTCCTTACTTACTATCAGCTCCTTACTTACTAATAGCTCCTTACTTACTAACAACTCCTTACTAACAACCCCTTACTAACAACTCCTTACTTACTAACAACTCCTTACTCACTAACAACTCCTTACTAACAACTCCTTACTTACTAACAACTCCTTACTAACAACTCCTTACTAACAACTCCTTACTTACTAACAACTCCTTACTTACTAACAACTCCTTAATCACTAACAACTCCTTACTTACTAACAACTCCTTACTTACTAACAACTCCTTACTAACAACTCCTTACTTACTAACAACTCCTTACTTACTAACAACTCCTTACTAACTAACAAGTCCTTACTAACAACTCCTCTATCATTTTCATTGTTGGAGAGGTTCCCCCCCCTACCTGAAAATCCTGGCTCTGCCATTGCCCACCCGGTTGCCTCCTGTGGAATACTCTTCTTGGAAAGGCTTTTGATTCTTTAGAGCTCTTGAGACGATGTGTTTGTTTTTTTTTAAAGCGTCATCCTGGCGTGAACCACCAACCTCACCTCCAGTAACGAGCGGTGTCTTGTCTGAGCAAACTCTCGTTTGCTTTCATGAACACACCCGTGAAAGCGAACGCGGGTCACTTCAGCTCAGATAACTCGATGGCGTCGAACGGCGGTCGCCGTGACAGAACTCCGTCGAAGCGAACGACGCGCCCCCCTTTAGTCGGGCGCTCAGAGCGAGTGCACGGCGCTTTGCCGCATCAGCAAAAGGCCACGTGGAGTGTGGAAGGGCTCGCTGCTGGCAGGAGGTCACAGGACAGACCCGGCTGCCGCGGGTCGACTGACTGGTGAATGCGCACCACCCGTGCTCCCCCCTGTGCCAACCTGCTGCGTTTTATCCACCCAGCGCTCCGCTCGCCGCTGTCGGCTCCTTCCGCCGTTGTTGCGGGAGGGCGGCTGCCTCCAATTGCCCAGTGGCGTCCTTCACGAGCCTCCTCCACAGAGGCCGGTCTTGACACACCGTCGGTGCCACTTCAAGACCGTCCCCTGCTGCCTTCAAACGGGGCGAACTGGCCTCTTTCCTCTCTTGGATCTTATTTAATTCTGTTTCATGGGGTTTTTTTTTTGTGCGTGCGCGTGCACGTGCGTGCGTGCCACCGCCGTTGACGCTGCCTCCCCCCTGCCGCCCCCACCCCTCGCCCACCCCCCGCCGCCCCCATCTGGCGAGAGCTCAAGTTTGGCGGTGGCCAGAGCTCCCTGCCGGCAAGCGCGGCCACGCGGAGGGGAGGGTAGCAGTGGAGACGGCGGGGGTGGGGGGGGGCTAACGGAAGGAGGAGGGAGGGCGCGTGTAACGGGAGCTGTGGGTTTTTAATGGAGCCGTGTAAGGGGCTGCCGTTAAGTTATCTGAGCGCCAAGGGAGCCGTGTGTGAAATCGCCTGCATTAGTCGTGTGCGTGCGTGCGCGAGTGCGTAGTTGTTGTGTTCACGTGTGCGTGTGTAAGTGCTTGTCTTCGGAGCAGTGGTGCGCTGGTTAGGGCACTGCGCTACAACGCAGGACACCTGGGTGTGATTCCCAGTGATGGCTTACATCAGTTGCGAGTGATATCCGAACTGTGACCCTAGGACTCCCTAGGTCTGGTGCAGTGTGTAAACTTTGATGCTGGGGAGATGAAGGCGGCTGAGCGTGGTGATTTCTACAGTACCCACCCCCTCCTGGTTCTTACGGGTCTTAACAGGCTCTCGCTAACAGCACTTACACCAACGGTCGGTATGACTACACGGTGGATCTTTATCTTCATGGTAGGAGACCTGGATCTCCCTCGTGTGCCGTGGCTGACCCTTAATAGGGTGCTCACGCGCGTGTCCGCGTGTGTACGTGTAACTTCTGCGTGCGGCTCGATCTAAAGTCTGGACGATTGTTTTATTGTGAGGAAAACATTCAGGAGCAGCCGGCCTTTGTCTTGCCTGCTCAGGCCTTGCCTTGGCTGTCCAGGCCTTGGCTTGACTGTCCAGGGTCCACAGCCCTTGGTAAAATAAATTACAACAACAAAAACCCTTTGTGATTAAAAATCCAAATTGAACATAGGGTAATGTTCATATTTGGTTTGCTGCCCTGCGACCTGGCTGAATGAGAGGGAGTTGGGGTGACTGAAGGGCCGTGCATAATATCCGATTCTCCACCGTATTATCAACTAAACGGTGAACTGAATCGGTATTAATTGGCGCGTTTAAAAAAACATCTACACCCCACGTGACGATTACACTCATTCGGCTGCGTAGGTCGGGTGGTGGAGGGTCTTTCTACACAAATTTGGCCTAACCCCCGGAAAATCAATCGTCGATCGCTTCCTCCTTCCGGTTTTTCACGTCGTAACGAGTAGTAAGTCCGCAAGTTAAAAAAAAAAATCCTCGTAGTGGTGGGCCCGCAGCTGCAGGGCGGGGCGCACCTTCGGCACAGCTCGGAACGATTCGGCCGACGACGTGACGGGGACGGCAGGCGCGACGCGGACGACGCTCGCCGTGCCGCCAATAGGACGCCACGGGGCACAAGGCCATCGCGGTCCAAAGTCCTTGGTTGCCTCTCCTGCTGCGTGGGCGGCGACTCAAGGAGCCTCTCGCGGACTCCGCGACGCCTCCGCTCGGAGCGGCGGCCACGCGGGGACGCAAATTAAAGGACGGGGCAGGAAAAAAAAGCTACGGCCTCGTTTTAATATTTTTTTCCTGTGGCGGCCAGGCGCTCTGAGACGGCCGCGTTGCGATGCGAGCGCTACCGACGGACGGACGGACGGACGCGAGGCAGAATATTTAATTTTGTCAAACGCCGGCTAAATCTGTCGCGTATCTCGGTTTTACGTTTCGCGGAGATGGGTGCTCCGCTTGAAGTGTCCGCCTCAGTCGATATCCGAGATGATTTGAGTGGGTTTGATCATTTGATTACTTCATTGATTTGGTGATTGCTTGATTGGTTGATTTCCTGACTTTGTTTTTTTACGAAAGATTCTGAGCACTGGCCCATGAATTGAGCAACGGTTCTTATGAAAGAGAGACGCCGCCGGTGGTGATGGCAGGGAATCCCAGAGTGGAGCAGTGCGTGGAAGAAGCAGAAAGAGGAACGTTGTTATCTAGTGTGGCGAGCGAGTGGGCAATTGAGTTGGTGAGTGGGTGATGGACCTGGCAAGTGGGTGGGTGGGCGTGTTGTGACCTGCAGCGTGCTGGATGAGACGATTGATTGATCGCTTGATTGATCGATTGGATTAAAATCGCGGACACCTTCCTCTGGCCCCTGTTCCTCAGGTTGACCTCGGGCTTCCGGCCTCCACCGCGTCGTCGTCCTCGTCGTCGTCGTCCTCGTCGTCATCGTCGTCTCTGTGCTCCTCATCGCCCTCATTACCCACGACGCTGGTGCTCTCCGCGGCGCAGGGGACTCAGGGCAAGCCGCCCCCCGCGACCCCGTGCCCCGCGGCGACCCCTACGCCGACCCCCACGCGGGGGTCGGAGGTCAAAGTCGAGGCACCCGACGAGGACGCCGACGAGGTTTCGGCGGCGACGACGTCCGGATCCGGTGGCGGCGCCGCGAATCCCGGCGCCGCCACGGCGACGCCGGCGTCGGCGGGAGCGGCGGCCGGATCGACGGTAGCGCCGGGGCTGCCGGGGCTGCAGGGAGTTTCGCCGGCGCCCGCGGCGTCGGCGTCGGCGGCCGCCTCCGGCCGGCGCCGCTCCGTCGGCGTGAACACGTGCGAGGCGGGGACCCTGACGGAGCCCGAGAGCCTCGGGCCCTGCGAGCCGGGCACCAGCGTGAGCCTCGAGGGCATCGTGTGGCACGAGACGCACGGAGGTGAGGTTCGCTTACGCGGCGGCGGGGGTGAACGAGCCCCAGTGTTGTTGGGGGTGCGGAGTAGGAGGATGGGAAGGTGGTGGGGGCGGGGGGAGGGCAGGGGGCGGTGGGCAGCGTGGCAGGAAGAGCGACGCGCGAAGGAGCCACGAAATGGAACGGCGGGTGGGGGGTGGGGGAGCCGGCGAGGGTATTGAGGTCCGTGGGGCTCGTCGGGAGGGAAATCCGAGCGTGCAGGTGGCCGGGGTGGTGCGTTCCGCCGTGCGGTGCGCCGCCCACCACTGCCGTGGTTTTTTCCACACTGCGCCGCGCCACTGCCGATGTGTTTGGTCGGCGGTTTGACGATGTTCCAGCCCCGTGTTTCCCGCCGAAAACTCACCGTGGAAAAGTTGACGGGATTCGTCTTTGCTGACTTTTCTGTGGGAGGTGTGGGAGGGGTCGTTGGGTGGGGGGGAAGGGGGGGGGGGCTCTTCTCCCTCCGCTTTCTCCCTCTTCTCCCGTCCATTCCCGCTGCTACAGAGGCCACTCGGTCCACTCGCTGCTTCCACCACCACCGGCTGGCGGTTGTTGATTGCCATGGTAACCCATCTGTTGTTGATGCTTCGCTGTCACTCCTCCCTGCTCTCCTCCTCCTTCTCCTCTTCCTCGTCCACTCCATCGGTCTTGGTGGAGAGATGGGTGGGGGTGCAGGGGAGGGATTCTGGGGGGAGGGGGTTGCGAGGGGGGGGGGTGGTGTAGGGGGGGGTAACATTCTTTGTTTACCGCACGTACGACGCCGGCGCATTCGGAGAATCCGTGGCTCGGCTTTGTTATATTTTCGCTGGCGACCGCCAAGGAAAAAATAACAACTCCCATGCCAAGGTGCGGGGAATGCGCGTTGCAGTAGTCTAAGGAATTAAAGTCGGTCGCCGCTCGGGTCCCGAGCCATTGCGGGGCAGGCCGCGTGCAAGCGGGCGAGCGAGCAGAGAGGCCACTAGAACTGGACTTCCTTTCCCACACGAGCGGGGGAGCGGACGGGCGGGCGGGCGGGCGGGCGGGCGGGCGGGCGGGCGTGACACCGTCGCACCTGCAAGCAGAACGAGCGAGCGCGGCGGAGGGACCGCGACAACGGAGCGAATCGCCCCCTCGATAACGACCGACCTCGCTCGTTAATAACGCATCGACTGAATTAGTGCCGCGGCGAGCGGGGCAAGCGGCCGATCGATTCATATTCACGATCCTCGCCGCCGACACAACCCTGGGCGGCGTTCAAACCCTGAGCGGTGCGCGAGCGAGCGAGCGAGCGCACGTGAGCAGGCGTATCCGCGTGAATGGGTGTGTGTGGATGTCTTTGTCTCTGTTCATTTGCACGCGTGTCGTGTGTCGTGGGGAGCGGCGTAGCGGTTAGCGCGCTGCATTATGAACCCGGTGACTTGAGTTTGGTTCCCGGCCACGGCCGGCGCGAGTAGGCGGGTGGCCTCAGAGCGAGTAGCCGGTGCGGTGTCTATAAACGTCGCTGGGGAGACAAAGCCAAGCAGGCGCAGCTCCGGCCACACCACCCCCACGTGTGGCGCATGCAGTCCTTGGTCGGAGCTTGAAGACAGCGATAGCCACAACCTTCTTTGTCGGCCACACAGAGGAACGTAATCCTTGACAGCCGTAGCTTTTGCCGCGCGAACGGCGGTCGGTCGCCGACACTCGCCCCCGGGGGGAGGGGGGGGGGAACGGTGGCGGTGCCGAGCGACAGGGTGATAACGGGCAGGAAGTGAGAAGGGAGTTTCGGAGGGAGAGGAAAAAGGAGAGGAAATGATTGGAGAGCGTCGCCGTCGCGACGAGGGAAGGGAGCGCGGTGGTTACGGACGCCGGGCCGGGTAGCCGGCGGTGCCGGAAATCGCGCGGATCGTAAACACGGCGCTCCCCCCCCCCCCCCCCCCATGGGACCGTGTCCGCGGCAAGAGAGGCAGAGATCGGGGGGCCCCCAATGGGACGGGGGGGGGGGGATAATGCCGGAGTAGGCGCAGTCCGTCAATTACGGAGCGATTTGCCGAGGTCATTAGGTCCGTGGAGAGGATAAATAGAGGAAGGCGGAAGGCGGAATTAAAATAATAATAATGAAAGAAACGAATGCATAATAAATATGAAATGTTTTTTTTTGTCGTAAGGCAGATATTGTTTTTTTGACCGCGCCGAGCGCAGATGGATTTCTGAGAGGTTTAATATCCAGCCGGTAGAGAGATACGGCGCAATTAGATTTGCGGGAGGCGCGCTGGAAACCGCCCTTCCCCCCCACAGCCCCCCACAGCCCCCCCCCCTCCCCCCGCGCGGTAATTGCGCGGCTTTGTTAGGCGCGCGTCAACGCGCAAATTGCGTTAGCGCTCGCACAAGAAAATAAAAAAAAATCACCCGAACGAAAACTTCGCCGTTAACAAACGTTCAGGCGGCCGTGCGGAGCGGCGGCGGCGGCGGCCAGGGCCAGGGCCAGTGAGCTCCGTGAGCGGTTAGCGCTGCACTACGAACCAACCACGCAGAGACCCGGGTTCGATTCCCGCTCGTGGCCACCACCACCAACATCGTTGACGATTACCGGAACCGGGCCTGGGCCGCCTGTAGGGCGACTCAGCCTGAACCGCTGGATGCACCCCGTCCGTCTGCATTGGTCATCGGGGTTGTACGACCATACTTCACCACGCTGGTTAGTTGCCGGTTGGTCAGGCGGGGAGATCCAGGACCGGTTCAGATGTCACTTGCCACTGATGGCCAGTATTTGCCGCGGCCAGGATTTGAACTCAGCTCACCCTGGATTGCTATTGCATCGCATTTCTAACCACTGTTCTAATACTCCAGCCCTTCCGGACAATATGTAACTTTAAATTTTGATTTAAAGCTTTCGTGACTGCAGTAATTCATATTCTTAGTTTTTTCGGTAAAGTCACGTTGAAGAGAAACAACAAAATAACAAAATATATATAAAACAATAAAAAATTCTCACGACGTTTCGACCATATATATATTTTGTTATTTTGTTGTTTCTCTTCAACGTGACTTTACCGAAAAAACTAAGAATATAATATGTAACTTTGTCAATCCACTGCTGGATGAAGGCCTTCCCATAGCCTATCCTATTTTATTCAGTTATGCTTTTGTTATTGTGGGATTTGAAATACAGATAGATGTGTCGGCCTTCATCCAGCAGGAGACTTGCCATGGCTGATGATGATTACTCTCACTGAGTGTAAATTGTGGCAACAGGAGATGGGTTGACACGTCTGCACAGCTCTGTACAGGTAGTAGATGCAGGCGCAGCCCTGCAATGTCTTGCTCAGGCCACTGCTAGCAGAGAGAAATAGAGAGAGAGAGAGAGAGAGCGCTCTCAGGAACCCCTTAACCTCCCCTTTCACGCTGCCCAGTCCACGTCCTGGGCAGAGGCCGGAGTTACCCACACTTTGCCCCACCGCACACGACCCGCCCCTCATTGTGCTGTCGTGTTAAAGCCATAAACTGAAACTTTTTATTTTGTCACGTAAGCCCCACTGAGCTATATAGCTTTATTTCAGAAGCGGCCTGACTGTCACAAAATGATAGCTCAACGAAGTGGCTTATCATCATCACGTGGAAATTTATGGCAGCAGACAAATAATCTAAACGCGTGATGTTGATTCTAAATGTGGAGGGGAAGAACCGGAGTAGGACCCGGAGATAAATCCACGCCGTGACCACGGGGAGAGAGACACGCAAACTCCAAATATACAGCAGCAGGCGTCAGGGTCGGGATCGAACCCACGACCTCCTGTATACCAGGCGAGGTAGTTAACATCTCCTAGCCACCGTGATGTTGATGATGAGAGAGAGACACGTAAACTCCAAATATACAGCAGCAGGCATCAAGGTCGGGATCAATCCCACGACCTCCTGTATACCAGGCGAGGTAGTTAACATCTCATAGCCACCATGGTCATGAGAGAGAGAGAGACGCAAACTCCAAATATACAGCAGCAGGCGTCAGGGTCGGGATGGAACCCGCGACCTCCTGTATACCAGGCGAGGTAGTTAACATCTCATAGCCACCGTGGTGATGATGAGAGAGAGAGAGAGAGACGCAAACTCAAAATATACAGCAGGCGTCAGGGTCGGGATGGAACCCGCGACCTCCTGCATACCGGGCGAGGTAGTTAACATCTCATAGCCACCGTGGTGATGATGAGAGAGAGAGAGAGAGACGCAAACTCCAAATATACAGCAGCAGGCGTCAGGGTCGGGATGGAGCCCGCGACCTCCTGTATACCAGGCGAGGTAGTTAACATCTCCCAGCCACCATGGTCATGAGAGAGAGAGAGACGCAAACTCAAAATATACAGCAGCAGGCGTCAGGGTCGGGATGGAGCCCGCGACCTCCTGTATACCAGGCGAGGTAGTTAACATCTCATAGCCACCGTGGTGATGATGAGAGAGAGAGAGAGACGCAAACTCCAAATATACAGCAGCAGGCGTCAGGGTCGGGATGGAACCCGCGACCTCCTGTATACCAGGCGAGGTAGTTAACATCTCATAGCCACCGTGGTGATGATGAGAGAGAGAGAGAGACGCAAACTCAAAATATACAGCAGGCGTCAGGGTCGGGATGGAACCCGCGACCTCCTGTATACCAGGCGAGGTAGTTAACATCTCCCAGCCACCGCGGTGATGATGAGAGAGAGAGAGAGACGCAAACTCAAAATATACAGCAGCAGGCGTCAGGGTCGGGATGGAGCCCGCGACCTCCTGTATACCAGGCGAGGTAGTTAACATCTCATAGCCACCGTGGTGATGATGAGAGAGAGAGAGACGCAAACTCCAAATATACAGCAGCAGGCGTCAGGGTCGGGATGGAGCCCGCGACCTCCTGTATACCTGGCGAGGTAGTTAACATCTCATAGCCACCGTGGTGATGATGAGAGAGAGAGACGCAAACTCCAAATATACAGCAGCAGGCGTCAGGGTCGGGATGGAGCCCGCGACCTCCTGTATACCAGGCGAGGTAGTTAACA